GATGCGCTTACCATAGGCGACTAACAGTAACTACTGGTGCAGAAAGCTTTTATACTATCGTTTCGATACTTCAGTGTCAGTGATGACTAAACGTCTTGGCCATTCTAAACCCAATGCACAATGGACATCATAATACTGTACTGACACCAAGTTCACACTATTTTTACAAACACTGCTAATACACATCCGGTTACCAGCGTGTTGCTAGGTGCAAAGACATTACCATATATGGTCACTGGAGTCTGGAGTGAAAGAATCTGATGATGTCGATAGTAGAAGGTAACGAGCGGGTTCTGGGCCAGGGGGCGCCCGGGTCCCAAAAAATGGGGTATTATTGAAAAAATGGGGTACTAATAGTACCCCATTTTTGCGGTGAAAATTATTTTTGGCCCGGTTTTTTTGCGGATAAAAATATGTGCCAGGGGGTGCCCTGACCCCGAAAAATGGGGTATTATTGAAAATATGTGTTGTGCACATGTGGGTTTGAATCTCACTTTTTTGGGCCACCTTGCCCCGGATGGGAGTGGGTATAAAAAGTAGAATGTTGAATATGGTGTTTATCATGAAGTTTTTTCCGTGACCTACCCCACCTCCCCATGCAATTTTTCAAAAATGGTCCTGCTCGCACACACGTCAGAAAGGTCAGTTCTTGATAGATACGATACATGTCATTACAAAGAATAATGGAACGAACAGTGAATATCGCAATGGAGTGGAGGAGAAAGGTAGTACAATTCAGTTCTTGTTGTCCTGATTTCATCAAGCTGGTATTGGATGAGAGACCACAAAGTTTACTCTTCTAATACGTGTGAGGATGGATTCACCCATGATCTCTTCCGTGACACGCAGTACGAGGTGGAGTTGTCGGACGCTCTGATGTGCACCAATGGTTCCACCCAGTCAGCAATGGAACTGTCAGTCGACGACCTCCTTTGCACCGCCATCGTGTCAACAGTCGACTCGGGTAATTTGGAGATGAATCCATCGTCGCCGATGTCGATCGTACCAACTCGCACACGAATCCGCGTTACTCTTGTTGCAACGGCACGGAGTTGAACGGCCTTGGTACTACGTCGTACACGCACACGATCAACTCGAGAGACTTCATTCTCGTTCACCTCCTTGACAAGTTGCATTACGTCGCTGGAATCCAAATAGGTTGCATCAGCGAAGAGGTCGATGATGTGTTGAGAGCACGGTTCGTCACGCATGTCACTAAGCTTGTAGAATGAGTGTCTACCATCAGTCCACCTTCGCAGTATGACACCATCATCAGTCTCACTAATAGTTCCGTAGTCCTCCACACCACCGATGACGATTTTAGGAAGGTGCTGTTTCCTATTCTTCACATTCAAGATCAGGCTGGTGACCCTGCAGATAATATACTCAGCAGCAGTGAGTGGTGACATATCGAATCTTCTGGGATGTGCTATCATCGGGTCAAGATCCCTGGTTGTCTTGCTAGCACTGAGGCGACGGATTGAGAACTCTTCATTATCGCATGAAAATAAATACCATTTCTCTGCTCTGCACGTCTCAGAAAATGTCCACGCCATTTTAGCTTCTTCACACTGCAAGAAGGAGTCGATAATGAAACTGCAGGTTGAGACTACTTCACCTCGAGGTCAAAGTTCACGCCGCGATGACCTTTGTTAACAAGGCTACGTCTAGACGTCTCAAACAAGACCAAGGGGTCACGCCACGGGGAGGTGACGACCTTGGAGAACACGATGTGTTTCGAAAGCGGAAAGACGCCCCGTCATGGTGAGTCTTTTTTGTTCGGGTTTGGAATCTTTCGACTATGATATCAGATTGAGATGTGAATGCCTTTCTTCTATTGCTTTGACCTTTGGGCCAAATAAGGCACACTGTGTCGGTCGTGCTTGGTCTGACCCCGGGACTCCCCCCAGGGTTTGACCTTTGACCTTTGGGTTGAATAAGGCACACTTATCGTCATTGTTAATCTTTATTCTGTTCATTTTTTATTTATTTTTTCAGGAGTATTTTGCTATTATCCCCGGATAGGAGTGGGTATAAAAGTAGATATATTGATGGATAATGTTTCACTATGAAGATGATGGTGTGGGGTGAAGATGGATTCTGAATTAGAGATCTTACGTGCCTATGTACGTGAAAAGAGACTTCGTGAAGAAGAAGAAGAACAAGAAGGAGGAGAAGAAGAAGAAGAGCAAGAAGGGAAGGAAAAGCAGTGTCATCATCTTGATCATGTTGTTCATGAAGGAAGATACGTATGTTCTTCTTGTGGACTTGTCATGGATGTGGTTTACTTACCTGAAGTTGATGTGCATCAGAGATGTAGTTTGATGAAGAAGCCTTACGCTGCGCATGAGCGGTTATGTGGTGTGGATCGTCATCTTTTGCATTTTCTTTCGAAAACTGAACTCTTATCCGATCAGCTTCGTGTACACCCTCTTCGAGAGCAGATACGTGCGATGAAGAAGTCCTGTTTGTACAAGAGTATAAATTATGCTATAGCATTATCCTGTATAGTATACGATACGAATGTGGATGCATTACGTAAACTGTATTCCTACTTACCTCATAGCAATGTAGCCTGGTTGAGGTTCAGTCGAATCATGAAACCTCTTCCTCAGCATTTTCCACTCCTATACGTACTGCATCTCATGGAGTCGACTAGGATGGTGTCTTCATTGCAATTGTCCACGTTGCGTTCGAATTTGCTGCTTTTATCTCAATCTGATATATCTCTTATGACATCATTGATTGATGCTTATTGCTGGGAAATCTATTCACTTGATCACGTGATCCAGAACATGCACACGTTTGACTGTGATCTTCTTTCCATACTGTATCAATTCACCAAGGTGGCGGTATCATGTAAGGAATCTTTATAATGAGATATGATTTTGGCGGGCACGATGCTGATTGGTCAAATGTTTTTGGCGGGCTTGTTGCTGATTGGTGAAATGTTTTTGGCGGGCTTGATTGGTTGACACATATCTTATCATTTCAATCCACATACCTCTCTGGCTCGTATAAACGAATGATTGTCTGCAGTTGAGTCATTCGTTCATCGAATACAGTGCTGACGAGTTGTCCTGACTTCACTTCCTAGAAGATGGCTTCCCTATACGAGCGAAGGATGAAGAAGAATTCCGCTCTTCCTGCTGACCCTCCTCGAGTTGTGCTCTCTTCGAAGCCAGTACCGGCTAAGCGTCGCTATGCATCACCTGCTCCTACCAAGCTCCACAAAGAGATTGTGGTGGATGGGTTTCAGGAGGACATGCAGCTGCCCTACAAGTTATCTGGTAAATCCTTCTACAAGCCTGGATATAAGATGTACTTCCCTTCGGGAGCTCTGCCAGCCTGTGGTAGTACGGCAACAGCTCGCAAAGATGCTCAAGGACAAGTTTACATCGAACTGAACGAGTCCACTGAGTTCATCATTACGAACTTGATCAAGACTTGTCCATCGCTCCGTGACACTCTCCGAAGTGGACGTGTGGAGAAGATCATAACCAACTTCTATACATCACGTTCGTCCGACGGTCAATGTCGGGTGTACATCAACGGTGAAAACAAGCTAGTCCCGACCAGCTCGTTTGAACTGGATGTGGAACAAGATGTATTCATCTACCCCGGGGCAGTCTCCCTCGACACTGACGAGCAAGTGATGAAGGTACGTCTTGCTGTTGCTCCAATCATCTGCATCAACGTGGAACCCAGATGTTTTCATCGTGCTCTGGACGCACACATGGCACTTTCTATCACGGAGCTGAAACAGCTGACTGAGAGCTTCACATCATTATGCAGTGTCGTCGTCCAACAAGACGATCAGCTGGTAGAGACCTTCCAAGAAGTCTTTAATGAACTGCCTTCTTTATCACACAGCTGATCATTCATTCTTATTCTATCCTATACTATCCTATACTACTTTCTACGTCAATACCTCATGATACAAATTAAAAAAAAAAACTTCTAAAGAACAAGTATGGGTGGTGTTGTGTCGAGTAGTACGTCCACGGAAGAGTGCTGCCTTGCCTCTTCGGACTCTAGTATCCCCACTGCTACTACTAGTGGAGAATGGGTTGCAGGATGTGAAAAGAATGGAATTGGGAAAGATGAACCAGGGTGATCTCATGTGAACACCATCAATGAATGCGTCATTCATGACAAGATCAATCATGTCAAGGTTACATCATCTGTTTTTGGCGGGCTTGATGGTGATTGGTTGACAACTTTGCATTTTCAACCCACCCCATTCTGACTTGTATAAATATGCATGCTTGACATGCAGTCGAGTCATTCCTTCACCCGATACAGTATTGATCAGTTGCCTCGTGTCTTCGCATTCTAGGAAATGAATTCCCTTTACGAGAGATGGTTTCACGTTGCAAAGAGTCTTAACGGATCGGCTGATCACAAGACTCACGAATGTCAGGTGTGTCATCTGCTAGTACGAGTTGCTGACCATGTTCTTGCAACATACGCAAAGGATGAAGGTGAATGCTCGGAGACTCGTCATGCCTTTGCCATTGACCATTTGTTCGTTCGTGATTCGACATTGTTTCACGTGTGGACATCTGCTAAACATGTCGCTATGAAGAGACCTGACATTCTCAGGTATGCTGCGAGCTTTACTGTTGGCGATGGTGATCGTGAACAAGCTGAACGACTTGAAAGTTGCATATGCGGCATCATGGAAGGTTTATGGAGTCATGCGTCAAACGACGTTGTTGCCCTGGAGATGACCTTGGCATATTCAGTCACTCTGTTGGACATGCTGGCACGGAAAGGCGATCGTGCGAAGGTGTTGTTAGCACGAGATTTCCTCATGAAACACATTCATGAACAATCGAGGAGGAGGATGAACGGTCGACTCATCAACACGATGACTGTGGCTCTTGTTTGTTGTGCATTACCTGTTGTTTACCTGTTCTTATGAGCATCATAAAGATTTATTTGAGAAAGAAAATATTTCCTTTCATAATTAGTACAGTGTGTGTGTGTGTGTGAAGATGGCGTACTGGGCTACGCATTTCCATAGGAGTGATGGTGATGAGGCCTCCCTCAAACACATGCAAAGCATGCGGAATGACATTATCGAGATGCAATCGGTTGTGGGGAACGAAGACACCGAAAACACCTTGGTTCATGATGTGGAGAAACTGAAAGAGGAGAAAGCCGATGAGAGCAAAGTGGAAGATGTGGAAAACAGATCTACGCGCTACACAGATCAAGCCATAGCAACTGATGAGCTGCACGTTAGAACAGACGGATCCGTGTCCATGGATGCTAACCTCGACATGAACGAACATTCAATCTGTAATTTGGCGTACGACGATAGCTCTTTGACATGTGCTGTCCCTGCCGGTTGGGTCAAGAATGAAATCCGTCAATCCTCATCGAGATTGCAACACGACATCGACGCTGTGCGCAAGATGAAAGGTCCTCGTGGTGATCGGGGATTGGGATGGCTTAGTGGAGGTGGCATGCCGCTGAACTCTGTAGGGAGAAATGGTGACTTCTACCTCGATGCAGCCACGCTGATCGTGTACAAGAAATTCAGCTCGAAATGGATGGCTTTCGGTCGGCTTCGTGGACCAAGAGGTGAAGCTGGTCCACGTGGGGAACGTGGATTGATCGGTCCTGAAGGTGAGACTGGACCTAGAGGAGGCGATGGACAAGGTGGTGAACGCGGTCAAAAAGGCGATCAAGGAATACCTGGTCCAGAAGGTCCCAGAGGTAAAGTTGGACCACGTGGAGAACGTGGATTAGTTGGTCCTGAAGGTGAGATTGGGCCTAGAGGAGAAGATGGACAAGACGGCTCACAAGGTGAACGTGGTGTTCAAGGTGATCAAGGAACCACAGGTCCCGTCGGTCCCCAAGGAACCATCGGTGCAACCGGTCCTCCAGGAAACAGAGGTCCCGTGGGCCCCCAAGGAATCGTCGGCCCCATAGGTCCTCCAGGAGCCAGAGGTCCCGTGGGTCCGCAATCAAATCAGAACCTATCCTATCCGTTTCATCTACTACCTCTCATTCGGAGAAACGCCTACCTCTACATATACTCTCATCCTAGCAGATTTGAATCCGTCGCCAGGGTGAGCAGAAACAGATACAGAGGGATAAATCTCGTTGACTTGAAGGACAAGAGAATCAACGTGAACAGCATCGACATGTTCCGAGACGGTCACTTCTACCTCAACATTACACAACCCAGCCAAGTTTCCATTAGAGAACGATTCGTCAATCTGTTTCACGACAACATGTCTTTTGCAATGTTCCAAGTAATTCAAGTGGACGCACCTGACCCTAGAAACATGGCATTGAAGGCATTCGATATCGATACTGTCGGAAATTTCAGCTTGGATAGTTTGTACGTGTTGTTCACTGCCACCCACATAAGTGGCAACTACTTCACGCGTCCCGGCTATTCATCATTCAACATACCCGTTTCGTCTTTAGCGAACCAATTATTGGTGGCTTTGGATAAACCTGTGTCGAGCATGACGGATCTCTTGGGTACAAAGTGTGTCATAAGTTACGCTCGGAATTCAGAAGGCCTATTCACTCTATACGTAAACTCCATTTTGATACATTCCAACTTAGACACTGTCCCATTTTCCAGGACCAATGGAATCGAAGATTGCAATTATAGCATTGGTGGTACTCAATTCTTCAACGGCACTTCATCAAAGTTGTTCTGTCATTTGCACTTTGCAGAGAGTTTATCTTCTCATACAATCCAGCGCATCCACACAGAACTCATGACACACTACGATATATGAAAGTGCTACTTTGATTGTACATAATATATAGCACACATGCTACACTACATTCTTGAGATGAAAATGAAAAATAAAACCTATCTATAGTGAGTGTCATCACAACACCAGAATGTCTGTGATATTGACAGTGGCGAACAACACGTCGGGCGTGAGCAGGGGATTGCACAAACCGAACTTTACTCTAAATGTGAAGGAGCTCGATACGCGTGATAAAGTCCTGCATGTTGAATCGGCTCAGTTTGAAGTACACTTTGAGAACATAGACGAGGCAACGAACAAACTCTATGTGGTACATGGTGTAGAAGAAGAAGAAGAAGAAGAAGAAGAGGATAGACTTTCCATCAAGACGGGAACATACAGCGATGTAGACGATTTGGCGTCTATTATCAATGCCACTCTGAAACGAGCAGGACACGGAGACATTGTGTTTTCCTACTCTCGTCACACCAGCCGCATAAGTGTCTCGGTACCCAGGAATAAACGGTGCTTGTTGAAGAAGGACTCACCCGCATTGGTGCTGGGTGTGGGCACTATTCTCAAGCCATACACGATCGAGGGATCTCACACGTTCCCGTTCGCTGTGGATCTGACGAAAGGCAGAAGACTTGTCCTGCTCTACACCGACCTCATTGGACCTGCTGTGGAGTACGAAGACAATACTGATTCGAGGGTGCTGAAGACTTTTCTTATTCAAACCCTCAACGGTTTGAATAACTACGTGTTCGGGAAAGAAGACAAACGACTGCTGCTTCCACACGAAAACGTGACTAGCATTTCGTTCTGGTTGAAATTCAACACCGGTGAACACATTACTTCCGGATATCCCGTCTAATCTGATGGGACCTCCACAGCAAGCCATTTCCACAGCGCTGCACACCAAATCCAGGATGCCCTCAGAAACCGGCAAAGACTGCCACTCACGTTTCACTACTGCCTAGTACTGAATCCTACCTGACTTCTTGACACGACTCAAACTTGCCAAAGTCACTAAATCAACGTCAACTACAAAAATCAAGCCACATATCTGCAACGTCACGAGGGTGCTGGCAAAAGTCCTGCTGCACGGCGGCGGGCTTCGCCCGCCGCCGTGCAGCCCAATACGTGGTTTTTTAACGTGATTTTTTGGACTTTTTTGGACTTGGGGCAAAATTCTGCACACTTTCGCGTGTTTCCATAATACGACAAGTTGCGCACGGTCTGCTCACATTCAAATACAGTGCTGCCAACAAATGACAGCATGCAACAAAAAAATCTTTCCTTGCAAGGGCACATTTTCGGCCATAACTCTTGAACGGCTGGTCGGATAGGGACACAATTTTCAGAGAATTTGCAGCTATTCATGCTCTTTCAACTGACGTAGCACTCAATCTGAATTTACAAATTACTTTTTTTCAGCGAATTTTGGGTAGTCTGCCACCTTTTAAGGGGGCAGCCTACCCATAAATTTCATATGGCATTCAAATGACCGTAACTTTGGTGTTTCTCAGTGGATTTGAGTGAAATTTTGACCACACACTCCTGCCACTATGCTGGCCCTCAGGACATGATTTACAAGTTCTTGCGCCTCACTGACAGGCTTTCCAGGCCGGAAAAACTCAAATTTCCGGCATAGTGCCACGGTGTGCGAGCCACCCAGGAGCCAAACAAATGCATTTACATTTTTTTCACATTTTCGTGCCCATTCTGTCCGTGCGCGGGACCCAAACCTAAAACAAGTCCAGAAGCAGCCATGGGTGGTGGGGTAGGGCCCCTCAACGTGGCCCTGGAATCTGTCACAACGGAACGAGTGGGCGTTCTCTCGCGGACTCCCACAGACCCAAGTCAATTTTTGAATTTTTTAGGTTTAGGGTGTGCTACGAGGTCGTACCTTTGATACAACATCCAGTGCTGGGACCTCCACAGCAAGCCATTTCCACAGCGCTGCACACCAAATCCAGGATGCCCTCAGAAACCGGCAAAGACTGCCACTCACGTTTCACTACTGCCTAGTACTGAATCCTACCTGACTTCTTGACACGACTCAAACTTGCCAAAGTCACTAAATCAACGTCAACTACAAAAATCAAGCCACATATCTGCAACGTCACGAGGGTGCTGGCAAAAGTCCTGCTGCACGGCGGCGGGCTTCGCCCGCCGCCGTGCAGCCCAATACGTGGTTTTTTAACGTGATTTTTTGGACTTTTTTGGACTTGGGGCAAAATTCTGCACACTTTCGCGTGTTTCCATAATACGACAAGTTGCGCACGGTCTGCTCACATTCAAATACAGTGCTGCCAACAAATGACAGCATGCAACAAAAAAATCTTTCCTTGCAAGGGCACATTTTCGGCCATAACTCTTGAACGGCTGGTCGGATAGGGACACAATTTTCAGAGAATTTGCAGCTATTCATGCTCTTTCAACTGACGTAGCACTCAATCTGAATTTACAAATTACTTTTTTTCAGCGAATTTTGGGTAGTCTGCCACCTTTTAAGGGGGCAGCCTACCCATAAATTTCATATGGCATTCAAATGACCGTAACTTTGGTGTTTCTCAGTGGATTTGAGTGAAATTTTGACCACACACTCCTGCCACTATGCTGGCCCTCAGGACATGATTTACAAGTTCTTGCGCCTCACTGACAGGCTTTCCAGGCCGGAAAAACTCAAATTTCCGGCATAGTGCCACGGTGTGCGAGCCACCCAGGAGCCAAACAAATGCATTTACATTTTTTTCACATTTTCGTGCCCATTCTGTCCGTGCGCGGGACCCAAACCTAAAACAAGTCCAGAAGCAGCCATGGGTGGTGGGGTAGGGCCCCTCAACGTGGCCCTGGAATCTGTCACAACGGAACGAGTGGGCGTTCTCTCGCGGACTCCCACAGACCCAAGTCAATTTTTGAATTTTTTAGGTTTAGGGTGTGCTACGAGGTCGTACCTTTGATACAACATCCAGTGCTGGGACCTCCACAGCAAGCCATTTCCACAGCGCTGCACACCAAATCCAGGATGCCCTCAGAAACCGGCAAAGACTGCCACTCACGTTTCACTACTGCCTAGTACTGAATCCTACCTGACTTCTTGACACGACTCAAACTTGCCAAAGTCACTAAATCAACGTCAACTACAAAAATCAAGCCACATATCTGCAACGTCACGAGGGTGCTGGCAAAAGTCCTGCTGCACGGCGGCGGGCTTCGCCCGCCGCCGTGCAGCCCAATACGTGGTTTTTTAACGTGATTTTTTGGACTTTTTTGGACTTGGGGCAAAATTCTGCACACTTTCGCGTGTTTCCATAATACGACAAGTTGCGCACGGTCTGCTCACATTCAAATACAGTGCTGCCAACAAATGACAGCATGCAACAAAAAAATCTTTCCTTGCAAGGGCACATTTTCGGCCATAACTCTTGAACGGCTGGTCGGATAGGGACACAATTTTCAGAGAATTTGCAGCTATTCATGCTCTTTCAACTGACGTAGCACTCAATCTGAATTTACAAATTACTTTTTTTCAGCGAATTTTGGGTAGTCTGCCACCTTTTAAGGGGGCAGCCTACCCATAAATTTCATATGGCATTCAAATGACCGTAACTTTGGTGTTTCTCAGTGGATTTGAGTGAAATTTTGACCACACACTCCTGCCACTATGCTGGCCCTCAGGACATGATTTACAAGTTCTTGCGCCTCACTGACAGGCTTTCCAGGCCGGAAAAACTCAAATTTCCGGCATAGTGCCACGGTGTGCGAGCCACCCAGGAGCCAAACAAATGCATTTACATTTTTTTCACATTTTCGTGCCCATTCTGTCCGTGCGCGGGACCCAAACCTAAAACAAGTCCAGAAGCAGCCATGGGTGGTGGGGTAGGGCCCCTCAACGTGGCCCTGGAATCTGTCACAACGGAACGAGTGGGCGTTCTCTCGCGGACTCCCACAGACCCAAGTCAATTTTTGAATTTTTTAGGTTTAGGGTGTGCTACGAGGTCGTACCTTTGATACAACATCCAGTGCTGGGACCTCCACAGCAAGCCATTTCCACAGCGCTGCACACCAAATCCAGGATGCCCTCAGAAACCGGCAAAGACTGCCACTCACGTTTCACTACTGCCTAGTACTGAATCCTACCTGACTTCTTGACACGACTCAAACTTGCCAAAGTCACTAAATCAACGTCAACTACAAAAATCAAGCCACATATCTGCAACGTCACGAGGGTGCTGGCAAAAGTCCTGCTGCACGGCGGCGGGCTTCGCCCGCCGCCGTGCAGCCCAATACGTGGTTTTTTAACGTGATTTTTTGGACTTTTTTGGACTTGGGGCAAAATTCTGCACACTTTCG